TAAATACTTTTTACTTGAGTATTTAGCACCACCTAAATACCTAAGTAAATAGTACTTTGGTATTTACAACAACACAAAATACCTAAATACTTTTGTACTTAGTACTTAATACTTAGTAAATACAATTTTGCCCATCACTGTTTACAAATAACACTGGATCACAAATTTTAATTTGTTTTTTGTTCTCCAGACGCCACTATCCAATTTCTATATAGAATTGCTCGGTGATTCCGAAATTCGCGTTAATTTTTTTTCGATGGATACGTTTTCGAGATATTTGCAATTCACCGTTATTCAGCGTAAAGCAAAAATTGCTTCCTTTTAACCACGTATATCTTACTAAAAAATTTAAAAATCTTATCTTACTATCTTACTAATATTATAAATGTGAAAGTTTGTATGTTTGGATGTTTGGGAAATCATCACGCGGAAACGACTGAACGGATTTGCATGAAATTTGGTGCACAGATAGCTTATGGGCCAGATTGGTTAATAGGCTACTTTTTCAAGAGTTGCCACCTGTTAAAAAAGTTTAATTTATTTAATATACGGGAACGACTGAATGGATTTGCATGAAAATTTGCACACAGATAGCTTATGACCTGGATTGGAAAATAGGCTACTTTTCTTAAGAGTTGCCACCTGTTAAAAAAGTTTCATTAAATTAATACGCGGAAACGACTGAATGGATTTGCATAAAATTTTGCAAGCAGATAGCTTATGACCTACAGTGGAAAATAGGCTAATTTTTTGGAAGAGTTGCCACCTGTTAAAAAAGTTTAATTGAATTAATACGCAGAAACGACTGAACAGATTTGCATGGCATTTCGCACAGAGATAGCAGATAGCTTATGACCTATGTAGGAAAATAGGCTACTATTTTAAGAGTTATCACGTATTAGGAAAGTTTAATTAAATTAATACGCGTAAATGACTGAACTGATTTGCATGGAAGTTTTCACACGGATAGCTTATGAGCTAGGTTGAAAAATAGGCTACCTTTTTTAAGAGTTATCACCTGCTAAAAACTTTGAATTAAATTAATAAGCGGAAAAGTCTGAACGGATTTGCATGAAATTTTGCAACCAGATAGCTTATGACCTACAGTGGAAAATAGGCTAATTTTTTTAAAGAGTTGCCACCTGTTAAAAAAATTTTAATTAAATTAATACGCGGAAACGACTGAACAGATTTGTATGGCATTTCGCACAGAGATAGCTTATGACCTATGTTGGAAAATATGCTACTATTTTAAGAGTTATCACGTATTAGGAAAGTTTAATTAAATTAATACGCGTAAATGACTGAACTGATTTGCATGAAAGATTGCACACAGATAGCTTATGACATAGACTGGAAAATAGGCTACTTTTTTAAGAAGGATACCTGTTTGAAAATGAAATTTTGCTCAAAGATGGTTTATGACCTGGACTGAAAAATAGGCTACTTCCTTAACCGGGTTTCCGATCAGAACGAAATTTAGTACACTTACTACGGATTTCAGAAGTCCGATAACTCAAGGCCCCTCCCATACAAATTGGAATTTTCATTTTACATACATATCTCTGGAAGTAATTGTGGGAGAGAACTGAAACTTGGTATAGTGATATTTATGTGAAATCAATGTTGGCATTAATGGATTGATGTTTTAATTAGTTAGTTAATTCGATTAAATTCAATCTGATTACAGTTAATCATGATTAATTTTAATCCGACTAAACAGTTAATCGTAACCGCGATTAAAAAATTAATTTTTATTCATTAACTCTTAATTTGATCAAGTAGGTTTGGTGATTAATTAAGTTATGCTGGAATTTCCCTGTGCACACAAAGCAAGTTAATCCGGTATGGCTAAGTCGGGTTTCCTCATCAATCTAAGCAATTTGGTGTGCGTTTTCATTAAGATATATACCAACAAACGTTTTACAAACTAGGTTTGTAAAAGTTCCCAGTTTATGTATTACTAATAACAATAATTATATTTTTTTATATTATGTGCTTTTTATAAGCGTAAAACACAACATAATTACTATAACTGGTGTTTGGTTTCAAACTCGGACAAAGTAGACAAATTAATCAGATTTTATTTTTAATTGGATTAACGATTAATGTTTTAAATTAATTAAACGTAATCGCAGCCAGCGATTAACGATTAAAAAAATGTTATCATTAATCGTACAGTTGATTACGACTAATTAATTTTAATCGTCAAACGCGATTAACATTTTAATCGTTAATTTTTAATCGTTAGTCAGATTAACAGTTTGCCAACACTGTGTGAAATCATGTTCATATTCACGGAGAAAAATGGACATTTTTGGAAAAGAGGCGTAGCACCTTTCATACTGACTGAAAGTTTCATAT